AAAAAATTTTTTTTGTTAAGGGCAACTATGCATGTGTAATATATTGAATAACCTTGGATAAATTATCGATGATCAACGTTTGGATGAACATAACAAGTCCCTCTTTTAACCACTGATAGGACCACCAAGATGGAGTAACCAAATTGCCAAACCATTGATGTGTAATTTCATGTGCTACTATCATCGCTGTTCCTGTTGCCTTATACCTTGGTTGTTTGGTAACATCATAGAGAATTCCTGATTCTTGACTGAAAGACAGAACGTAACATAATAAATTATATAAAATATATCTTCGATAAATATGCAGTCTAATGTGTGTAATATCGCTGTGACCCTTTGACAATATCATACTCTAACAGCACAGACCTCCACGCGACGTCCATAGGACGTTCAGGGGACATCCCCAAAATATATACCGTATAATAAAGTGTGTTATTAGGGTAGTGATCATAATTTATGTAACTTATATTATGAGTCTATTGTAATGTGAATGTGACATTTGTTACTGTAAAAGTGTGCATTTTTGAAGTATTTATGAAAATGCATATGTTTTAAATTACTAAAGTTTGAATGCTAAGAGAAACAATGGCTGACTTTGATAGTTTAATTAATTTCTTTTTAATTATTTGTACTACCTATAAATGATAAGTCCCCAATTTTCCATGCCGTGAATCGGAAAATTCGGTATTATGACGTGATCCATTTTCGGTACTTTTTCGGAACTATTGGTATATTCAATTAAAAGCGGCGTAATTCTTTGAGCAACAATAAGCGCTAATTTTGTTTGTGATACCAAAGACGAGTTACACCAAATATTAATGGTTTCGTTCATTTTGGTGTTGGAAACACGGATGAAATCAGATATAGGAATTATAACAATCGCCACAAGATAAGTGGACATTATAGGAGTAGTGTTGAAGTGTGTTAGCATTAAGCCATTTATTTCTAATTGCTCTCGTATTGGCATATTTGACAATACCCTATATTTCTGATGATGCATTACAGATATGTTAAAGGTGGCTTTTAAGGCTGGCTCATCCCAACATGGAAACATTCGTCTGGCTCCATTCGGCTCGAAATGCGTTGCAGCCATCCACCTACAATTTAATAAAATATCTTAAATTTCGGTAAATTTATTACTTATGTCACATAACGTAAGAATTTAGAAAATACTAGTATTTATTATATATTATAGGATAGAGAGAGAAGAGAGAACCCAGAGGCGAACCGGATCACAGAACGAATTGGTTATTAAGTATAATAATTGTTATATGTTTAAACAATGATTTAATCGAGCCTTACATGTAATGATAACGATGATAAAAGCAAAAAAATTGTAAATAATATTTAAAATTACATTTATAATTACTAGACTGCGGAAGTTTATGCAAAATACTTAACTGAACGTTTTGCATAAAATGCATATTTTGCAATTTTGTAAATTTACAGATGGCAATCTCAATCTTTTTACTTCACTTTTTAATAACTCTTTAACGAACAACGATTGACTGCTAAAACTGTCCGATAGTTAATATTCAGTTAAATATTTTGCATAAAGTTCCGCAGTCTAATAATTACATTATAAAAATATTTTTAATATTTTAATATTTACTTACATTTTGTTTCCTTCTTTATTTGTATACGGAAATTTCATGAAACCATTTTGTATAAAACCAACTTCAGATAGATTACCAGCAAATTTTAAGTTAAGAATGTAAAAACCGGGTGATAATGTATTTTCGAAATTAAGTATTAAAATATTTGTTACATTATCATGAGTATGTTCCATCGGTTTATAAACTGTACCCTTGTCATTAATCAAGGTTGTCGCCCTTTCATTTATTTCTAATTCTCTCGAGTGTAAGCTTATATTTTGCGATGCATAATAAATTACGATTTTGACATTGGATTCGCCGTGAAAAGTAGAACTGTCTTCCTCGAGATACGGTGTCAGTTTGATGTTATAGTGAATTGGTACCGTGTTGACGGATAAACGACGTATAATTTCAAAATTACCATTGATGCAAAAACTCATAGCTAATATTAAGCTAATATTTAATAACAACTTTAAGAATTCCATGTCGATCCTTGATTGTTTCATGTATCTATGATTTTTTGTTGGTTTATAAATTAAAATTTTAAAAAAGAAACAAATGATAATGCAGTCCAAATTGTAACTAATTTTTATATAAAGATAAAAAAATGAGAAAGAATAATTTTAATTACTTTTATTAAGATAATCATACATAAAATCTAGTTTGGGAAAATTACGAATTTCTTAATTCTTTTTTCTATTATATATTGAGTATATTTTAATGCACTCGAAATTAATTAATCTTATGTTATTCTTACAATAATAAAACGGGCACATAGAGTCAAGTGAGGTAGTTAGAGCGCAAAAATCTTTATTCTAGATGTTCTTCTTATAATAAACAAACATTAAATTCTCTATATGCCCGTTTTATTGTTGTAATTAACTTTAAGTTTAAAGAGTCTAAAACTATTTTTAATTTCGATTATGTTATTCTTATTTTCATAGAAATTAAGAAATAAGATAAAAGATCAATCTAAAAGATTAAATTAATTTAATTTAATTTAATTTTTAATTTTAGGCATGTAAGTATAAGCGTGTATATATTTAGCTGTATAGACTATAGATTAAACGTAATATCAGTTTTAGAAATTCCATGTTCACTTTTGAGATACCTGCATGAAAGTTTTTATCTTTTATTTCAAAGATATTAAGAAATATATTAATAAATTGTATATGAAAAAGTCATCACAATTTAATATAATTTCTTAAATATAAAGAAAGAAAAAATATAGTTTCAACAGCTGAAATAAAGATATATTATTGGGATATTAATATTTAATTATTAATATTTTATTTTTATATGAAATTATTTCCTTATCGCTTATTTTTAAAAAGGTTTTTAATTTCTATTTTGATATAAATATAAAAAAAATATTTTTACTAATTTTATTTTACTATAATTGTTGGACAGAACTGGACAGAACTAAATAGAAAATGATATGAATCTATTTTTTTTTAATTTTCAAGAAAAATGATTTTTACAGGATTATAGAAGACGTTTATTTATATTCACTGTTTTTATTTACTGTTTAAATTTGAAAATTACCGAGACCATTACGAAAAATTATTTAAGCGAATTATTAATTATTAAAACAAAATTTGAAATTAAAATGAAATTAAAAATTTGTAATATTTTTATTTAACGAGAATACTAATTTACATTTAACGTTAACTCCCTAAAGTAATCTTGAATTTTAAAGAGCTCGTTTTAATCTAACTAAAATTTTTGAATATAAAACTCGGTGTTGTTACTTTAAAATAATATTGACTGATATATTTTTCAGTTGAACTTCTCGTCTTTGTATCAAATATGGTACAAATATGCTAAAAATAAAAATACGTAAACAATAAGAATCTTATTCGACCGTTCATGTGAATATACAACCAATAGGAAATAAAGTTCATAACGATCGAAGCTGAATCTTAGATGCTTAAATATAAATTCGGTGTGAATTTATGTAACTACGAATCTATAACTGTGCGCAAAAAGAGTTTTAATAAAAGAAAGTGACCACACGATAACTCTGCAAAAAATGACTAAGAGGGAATTAAACTGTGTTCATTTCATATGTTCCTCTGAATCATTTTGTTCGATAAAATTATCGATAAAATGTTCTTCTATAATTTTGTACGTTATTATCTACGTTTTTTAAAAATAATCTATTTAAATATTTTACTTTCAGTGATGTTTACCTTGTGTGCGATGCGTTATCCTAATAAAATTACCATTGAATTGTACTTTCTTATATAACTACAATTAAGTTGGTCAGAGCGATTATCAGAATCATTACAAATATATTGGTGCAATAGCGAATTGTCTTGTCGTCTCGAGAGAGTACCCTGAACTGATTATTGAGCATGTTCGTCAGATACCATCAAAAGGACGGTAATGTTGTGTAAGCAACATATTTTTGTTTTATTTTCCTTATTTGAATTGTACATAAGCGTTCTAATAGAAACATGCTTGTTTACGGAATCTCTTTCACTGAGCGTACTTACTTAATTGTTGTGAGGATTTGTTTAAATAGATTTTCTCTTTTTCGAAATCTCCAAATATACTCGTATGTACGACTGCATCCTCTCAATCATATATATTAACAATTATAAAACTTAATTACTTCTTTCGATATTATATTATCCAATTTATAACAGTTTACATAATATTTTATATATCTTATATTATCTATATGAAAAAAATTCGTGTAAATTTAACATAAATATTTTATGTTATCTTGAAATATACAGTACTCTGGTTTAAATTTTAAGGGGATGCTAAGTATATTAATTAAGTGCATTAAGTAAGTTTTAACTTTTTTTAGTATAAAATACACTGCACCACCTCCTAATTTTGCGTCTATTTTAATCTTATAAAATGATTTTTTATTTTTTATTCTGTTCAGTCAATTCGGAGATTTTTATACGACTGTAATGTCGATAATTTGGTCGGTAAATAGAGTTTAAATCTTCACTAAAAAAGAGTTTGTATCTCCGCTAAGAGGATTTAAACCTTTATTATAATAGTAAAAACGTTTTTTTTTCGTGAAATTCCTGGTGATTGGTAATATAATATTTGTATTATTTTTAATGTATCGTAGGGAATATAAAAAAAAATTGTTTTAGAGAAACACAAGATTCGAAATATTCAATAAATTTTATTTTGTATATTTTTTAATATCATACTAATAATACACACATGTGTTTGTGTGTAAAGCATATATATATATATATAAAATATATGTATATATATGTATCAACAATTGGTGTTCTAATTATATTGTCAATTACGTCATTTTCACTTAAAAAATTTAGAGATGTACTTTCAATTCTTTTTTTAAGTTTCAGTATTATCAATACACATTATTCATAATAATACATTATAATAATATAAACATATTCCTGCAAATGTAGGTAATAGTTTTGTACTGTGAATATCACAGATAATCATATTATGTGAATTGCATCATAAGGTATAAATATTGCTTCCAATTGCGCAAGTATGTACAAATAAATTAATCTAACGGCATGTCAGTTTCCTAAAATTTTTATCGTAGTAGAGGAATTTGCATATGATTGGCTCTTTCGTTGGTTTGCGCTTTACTTTCTGATATTATCTTGGGATTAACATTGGTAATATTAATCGGCTCCTTTTGCTTGGCTTCAAGAGATTTCATATATGCAAGGAAACACGTCCAGATCAAACTGCATATACTGACGTATACTACACGATTTCGCTCTGGAATTAGGATGAAATTGACGGTTTGAAGAATTGGCCATACGCAAATAGCAATCTAAAAAGAAAAAATAATCTTGTATTAATCCACTTAATTTTGGACTTGAGAATACATCTATCGAGGATATGATACCTTGTATGTTGGCCAAAATTTAATTTTGACCTCGTCAATGCATTCCGAAACTGGCTTTAATTCAAGAAGACTCATGCCAAAGAAGAAGGAACACATAGCTGCAGGACCGTATGTAACTTGTTCAATCAAAGCCTGTGATTATTATTCAATTATTTCATTGTTAGTTAATGCTTATTGAGCTATTTTTTATTTCCGTGAATAAATTAATTTACCGTACAACAATATTGAATAACATAAACACATTATTCAATTTTCATTAATGTGCACACCTTAGTGATTGCAGATTTTAAATCCGCTTTTGGCCAGAAGTGAGATGCGCATTTCAGCCAGCAGTATAGTGTAGGCGCTACATAAAGACCACCATATAGACTGAATCGCACAGCTTCCATGTAATTAAATTCTTCTTTGCCCATTATCTTCTGTTGCAAAAAATTTCCAGCTGGCCATATAATCGAGTAGGACGCCATGCCTCGAACAATAGGATACTTCTGCGAGATCTCACGGAATTTTACGAATATGATCCTCATTTTCGGTGCTTAGGCTGCAAAAATGTAAATAAATATTTGAAATTACTATTTTTACTATATTCATAAGAAATTATAAAATCAATATTACATTATTGAGGTATATACTGTATGATAGCTAATTCTAAATAAACTTTAATTTTCAAACGGGCCCTATGGACCCGGAAAGGGGACAGACATTATCGACTGTCAATACGAAAATATTTATATAATTTTTATACAAAATATTATTTAAACTCATATTTTATTATTATTTATACAAACATTTTAAATACTCATAACGCAACACTCAATACATAGCTACAGAAATTTATTAAAATTTCAATAATCATACAGATTTCTAAAGTTCATAGATCTTTATATCTTATTAAAATCAAATCAAAATTCGATAAAAAAAAATTAAAAAATTAATTTTTAAACAGTGCACTAAAATTATGTATTCAGTAATCTGAATGCATTTCAGAAAGATCGCATTGTTTAATTTGGAAAAAATAGTAGTTTTCGAAATTAATATTATACAAGTAATTTTAGAGCATTATCAGTATAACCACTCTCTTGTTTTATAAATCTTCAATTAAATCTTGATCAACTTAAATTGACGAGTTCAGCCGGTAGAATTAGAGCAAAACTTCAAGCTATATAATTCATCATTCCTGATCATTCCTCATGATGCAAGTAGGCTACTTCGTTATCTCTAATCTTTCATGTCACAAACAAAAGATATTTCCATTTACGTACCGTAAGTTCGTTGAATTACTTGATAAATTAATCGTAGATCAATTTAATCGGAGTTTGATCGAAATCATCAGTTCATCTATAGCGTGGCTGTAAACAATTGATTTATTTTTAAAAAATTCCAATATAACGCTAGAGTTCCACAACTTTCATGATGCATTACGTCATAATTGTCGTCCCATGAGGCATGGGGTCGTGCTATAATCAGTTACCTTCCGTGGCGTCACAGGGGAACGGACGTAGAGGTACCGAATGGTGCGACGCTCCTTGGAGAACGCTGCGTTCGATTTTGACAGGCTGCGTGCGTATGCGTCGCCGAACTTGATGGACCGTTGCATCTGGAGATCTCGCGTGATTCTCGCTATGACATGACTTGGACGACTGATCAGACTGACTGCAAATGCCCCCACCCCCTACGTTGACGGAACACGTGTTGACGACAGCTGGCGATGACGAAATCAGTCGATCCATTCTTATCTGTCCTTGGTATACGTCATCCGTCGATACAGGCACTTTTTCGTTGAATCACGTTGCACAATTATTCGGTCGCTTATTGCGTAGCTTTCTGGTAATACAGAGCTCGGGAGGAGTCGATAATATTGGTATCCCACAATAGTGGGTGTATGCATATATAATCATAAAAAACGAAAATGTCGAGTTTTTGCAGTCGTATATTCAGACAATATAATCGGATATGAGAGCTGTATCATAAAATACAATTGACTTGATCTTGCAATAAAGATATACTGTACATAAATATAAACTAGAACTATGCGTTGCTAGTAGTAAAGATCCGAATTAATAAAATATTTAAAAATTTCAAATGAGCGCGTACAAATACGTTAAAATACATTCATTCTAATCACGTTGCCTTTTATAGAATACATCAGGGATATGTGCATGTAAGTTCTTACAAAAATCCAATATTTAAAGGCTTGCTTCATAACATCGTGCATTGCAATATATAGAAAATTTTATTCATTTTGATTGTACGCATTCATCAGTGTCTTTTTTTAAATGGACATTTATTGCAAAGAACAATTATATATTGTCATTGAACAATGTTTATGAAGCAAACATGAAGCCAAAAAGCTACAAGGATAATCTCTCTAAATCTTTATAAAAAATCTTTAAAACTTCGAGTTAGTCTTAGTAATGTACCAAATAAACAGCGGTCAGAACAGGTTGTAAATCTTCACAATACCTCGTACTAGTTTTCCGTACTTTTAATAATAAAAAAATACTGTATATTCTCAATGATCGTGATCCATTAATTTCCCTAAAATTATATGCACAAATTCTCCTCAATGATTTTATCAGATTCTTCTCATCAACTTTGAATGCTGTTGGCACAGTCTCCATTTCGCATATTGAAGCTACGTCAACTCAACACTCATTATGTCGTAATGTCGAATAAATCACAAACACCTTCGTTCTCACTAAGATTGAAATGGTAATCTTTTTCCCCAGGGGGTGGACTTAATCTCATTAATGGTCCACAAACTGCAAATGAAATTCATATAAACATATTATACAACATGATTGACTGTTAAGGTATGTATAAAAGAAATATAAAGGCAGTATTTATAACCCGATCTCTTAAATTCAAGATTGCTTCAAGTTTGATTATGGATAGTCTCAATTTTAATCTATAATTTGGGCCTTTTTTGGCATAAGCAAAATTTCACTTTCAAATTTATCTTTAAAATAAAGAAGAGCAGAGTCTAGTTTCTCCTCTTGAATATTATGTAACATCGATTTAATAATGTAACAGAAATGTTGAAAAATAACCCTAAATCTTTCTATATTTTTTGAGAGTCTAAAATAGTAAAAACAATTTGAATTGAACCAAAAAGACCCAGATTGCAGATAGAAGAAATAAAAGTAAGATTGCAGACAACAGAAAGTTAAGATTCCATTCAGCAAAGGAAATGACCGTACAGTCTCGTACTTAAGACAATTTTGAATAATTAATCAAATTATGAATAACGGTCCAAGATTCGACTTACAGTCAGAATACAATTGATCAAGAAACTCCAAATCTCTTTGGACAATATCTATAATTAAAAATAATTAAAAACATAACTTAAAAACTTTACATTATAATAAATATAACAAATAAATGCAAATTAAGATAAAATAAATTTACCTGCGGTGCTTATGTCACGTAAAACTATCTTAGCTTCTATTAATTCCGAATCTTCTTCTTCTTCATCATCAGTTAATACCGGATCTGGTTTAGTACTGTTTTTTGGTGGCCTAATGTTGAAATAAATTAAATGTATTTCAATATAATCATAATCTTGAGAAATACATAAAAGTATAAATATATATAAAAGTGTGCATTTTGTACCAAATGAATAGTTCAAACTTGATAACTATTCATCCCCTTTACAAAATTATTTGGCAATTGCCAATTATACTATTTGCTCTGTGCAGATCAGGAATATTATTTTATTATTCCTGACACGATTAGAGCATATATAGACTTATATGTCCTTTTTATATTGCTGCTTACCTTCCAACTTTCCTCTTTGGTTTAACAGTAACTTCCTCTTTCTTCTCATCTTCATTTCCACGCTTTGTACCCTTTATTATTTCTTCTCGTAATCTCATTTCTAACACTTTATTATCGTAAGTTTTAGCTAGTTCAGGTTGGACCATATACACTTTAATTTCTCCCAAAGTACTTTTCAGAGTCATGTTATAATTTATCACTGTATCCTCTTGCATGACAGTCTGTCAAACGTAAAAAAATAAGAATATGAAAGATAAATATATATCAATATAATTTGTATCAAATATTTTCTAGACATGGAATATTGGGTAACTCAGGTTTAAAGCAATTAAGCAACAGATCTGGATTTGATTCCTAGATTTGTTGTTTGTCACTTCTTGAAAACTGAAACTTCCAAAAATAATATCACAATCAATAAGTTAAAAACAAGTCTAATCCTCTAGGTTAATGTTTTTTTCACAAAAATTGCAATTATAATGTAATAAAATCAGTTTGGAAGCTTAAGGCTGCAGTCCACTTGCTTCTTCCAAATGCTCTGAACATTATGCTCTAAACGCTACGCTCTGATTGGTCCATTACCACCCCTGGTCCAGCCACCCCACCTTCCAAGATGAGACAGTTGGAGCGAAGCGGGAGCAAAAACAATGACATATTGATAACGTAATCAGAGTTGCTAGGAGTGTTCCGAAAGATCAAATGGACCAGTCATGTCAGTGCTACAAATGCTCTGTAGTGTTTGAAGCGCTAAGTGAACCACAGCCTAAGTCTACCAGGGACTGCAATAAAGTAAGCAAAAATTTTCTAAATATCCGTTCGAATACCTTCAAGACATTTGGTACTGTTATTTCCATGTCTGGAGGACCCTGTATTCCTAATACAAATTGATCCACAAAGTTTTCTTTAACGTCTTCGTACGTGATATATGCATATTTCTTATTTATATTATCATCCTTTATATTCTTTATGCTTTGCTGAATCCATCGGGTATGGGTATCCAACAGCTGTTCGTGATCCTCCAATTTGCTGATCTCTTCCTTTAGGTCTGTTAGTTTCTCGCCGACTTCTTGTGTATTGCAGCCAGGTCCTGCACCCCTTTGAATACACATTCACAAAGTAATAGCGCATGTCACAAAAAAGAGATAGTAGCGTTAGAGTGGGTTACCTTTGTACGTTTTTGTCATATGACAAATTTTTCAAGCCTGTTAATCGACTATACAGTAGAGAGATTCGAGAATCTCTCTGTCCTGCAGCCTTTGTCATAGGACAAAAACGGATAAATGAAATATCCTTAAAAACAAAGGAGTAGCACTTACTTCCATTGAATGCTGTTCTTGCTCTTCTTCTCTATAAGACCAATACCCTCAAGCACGTTAGTAATGTCATAGATGCGCCGTTTCTGTCGTACCTCCAGAAGGTCCGCAGCCTGTAAAGTTCATGAGCTGTCAGTCATGTTGTAGATTAGCAGCTTCGGTTAATCATAGAGGCGCCCTATTAAGAGTTCTGAAATTCTTATAGGTTAAGGTAGGATCGCGTGTTAATGACATTGCAATGCTATCGGCTTGTCGACCATACCAAGCATCGGCCAGTGGCTCTGCGGCAAAGGGCGGTAACGGCCGCGTAACCGAGGAACGTCCGGGCATACGGACACGATTCCCTTGACGCGCACTTCTTTCAAAATTCCCGCAACCCATGTATGACGTGTACAGCCGCGGTTACTTAACCTAGTAAGGTTAACTTTTTCGGAGCCATCACCAGATCCCGAGTACTCACGACTTTCAAATCCAGCACGCCGTCCTTCGCTTTCTGGAGCAAAGACACGAAACGAGTAGTCAGCAATCCCAGCGACTTCTCGAATCGGCTCTGTTGATTATCTGCCATTATCTCGGTCGTTGCGAAAATTTTCAAAACTTGCTAGTCCCTTCGAAATTGCCGCAACGCCACGGACGCCATCCTATCGAGCGCCTAACGGCTATTCAAATATGAGCGCGTGTCTACTGTTGGTAACGAATTAAACGAAATTTCAAATATCTCATAAATCGCAGCAGTTGTAGGCTGCGTTCGGGGAGTGCGCTATCAACGCTGTTTGTGTCATATGTTACTATCCTTGTTTTATGTTTAATGGACGATGAATATAAAATGACACAAATAGCGCTAATAGCGTCTCCCCAACCAGAAACATCAGAGAAAACCCTAATGGCCTAAAGCCTTGTGTCCACGATGCTAGAAATCGGTCCGAATCTCAGAGAAAAAAAATTAACAAATCACATTTGAATAATTTGATCACATGACCATTGCGATTGGTCAATTCTTTCCTCATCCGAGGTCTCGGACCGATTTTTAAAGCCTTGTGTCCACGATGCTAGAAATCGGTCCGAGATCTCGGACAGAGAAAAAATTAACAAATCACATTTGAACAATTTGATCATATGACTATTACGATTGGTCAATTTTTTCTTCATCCGAGATCTTGGCCGATTTCTAGCATCGTGGACACAAGGCTTAACATCGTAAACACAAGGCTTTAAGTTTTGAATAGATCCACACTTTAAATAGGACGCATTTATCGGCACGGTTTAATGAGTATTTTTTTTAATGCGAATATGTTCATTCTAATGATGGGGCTTGCTCTGAATAAATATATACCCATGAAAGCAAGCGGATAAAAAATTCGAGTATAATAAAAAAAAAATTGTATTACTTATTCAGGATTTACGCTTGCAGTAATGTCTAATTAACTAAGGAGAATTTATTTTTTTTTATATAATTAGAAAAAAATTATAATCATTTAATCTTTATTATCGCGTATTACCTGCGGTGTATCAATATAATCTGTTTTTTATATTTATATTTAATAAAATACGCTTATTAATGTTATCTTTATTACTATATACATTTGCAATATGTTTATAAAATATTTATAAAATAAATATATTTATAAATATTTTGTATATATATATATGAATGCGAGTGTGATGTAGCAGACAGTGCACTGGTCTGATATACTAGAGCATATTAGAGATCCCGGGTTCGATCCTCAGCAGAACCGAAAAATTTTCATAACTCGTTTCATTCCTCTCGGAAGGCAATGGCAAACCACCGAGTAGTATACTTGCCCAGGAAACCTTCCTACCAAAAATTGCCGTTCGGAATCGGTGTTTAAACTGTAGGTCTCCATATACGTTGTGTGATCAATGTGCGTGCAAAGGTATATGAGAGGGAGACGCTTATGTGCTGAGATAACATATGGCATTTGAAGAAGAAGATATATATATCTACATATGTATATATATATAATATTTATAAATGTATGCACTATATGTTTATATAAAGAATAAATTTACATTTTATTGCTTTTTGATTACTTATAAAAATTGTTATATAAAATATAAACAACGATGAAAATAAAATTAAATATGTGTGCATCAATCCTATTCTAAGGAACATTTCATACATTATTGATGCACACATATTTAATTTTATTTTCATCGTTGTTTACATTTTTATTATTTAAATTAACAGAAGTTCATTGGTGACAGTTGGCTCTGGGCTTTGACTAGAACTTGCAGAGCTGAGAGTTTCATCTTTAATTTTTAAAGTGGATGAATCCTTGTCCTTGCTTTTATCTTTTTCCTTTTCCTTATCCTTATCTTTACTTTTATCTTTATCCTTATCTTTTTTCTCTTTATCTTTGTTATGTTTGTGATCATGCTTATGCTTATGTTTGTGTTTGTGCTTTTTCTTATCCTTCTTTTTCTTTTTGTTCTGCAAGAACAGCGAATGCACATTATAAATTTAATATATTTGACATTTATAATATCACAAAAATGATTGATGTACAAAGATATTTATCTATTTCTTGAAAAATTTTATGTACCTTGTTGCTGGAATCACTTTTTGGCTTATGCTCTTCTGAATCTTTTTTAAACATTCCAGGTTCAAAACCTACAGGACCAGGAGTTCCCATGATACCAGGAAGTGACGCAGAATTGTCGCTGTAATACTCGGATTTTACTTTTCCTTCACCAGGTACTGGAATTCCCCGTTCATCCTGTTAAAACACAGTATATAACCAATTTATTCAACAGTAAAAGAAAAAGGATATAAAATCATTTTTCATACATTGTTTGATTTTTGTCGTTTTTGTTCTGGACCATGTTCCACTGGATTTGATGAACCTGGAGGATCTCTGTTTGGAGATAGTTTCCTCTTGTTACCAACAGGTAAGTTCTCGATTGATTCTTCGATTGATTCGTGTTTCACATGTTGTACCGGTGCAACTTTCACCTGAGTAGAATACCAGGATTTAGACATTGTCATTAAAAAAAATGTTTTACAATTTAAACAGACTTTATTATAAGTAAGTTTTACTTCACGTTCTGGACTTGGTGGTCCAGCTTTCTTAGGCTTCATGATTGTTGCGATTTCGGGAATAGGAAGGCAAAATGGGACTCTTACGCCGTATAAACTATAGTACAAATCCACCAAATCGCAACGCAACTTTGCATCATGCGACAGCATGCCGCTATAAATAAAATTATATACGTTAATAATACGAAAAAATTAATTTTACAAGAAAGATTAAAAAATTGTCATACTTAATTAAATTCCATATACGGTCAACTAGATCTGGTTTATCCAAGCGATGTTTATGAGCTCTCTCGAATGGTGGATTTTCTACCATTAATCGTACGAGTCTATGACGTATACCAGGATGTGGATCCATTTCCGCCATATCTAATAAGAATTCTAAGTCTTCCCATTTGCCGTCCACGCGAGTAAAATCAACCAATGCTTCTAAAGCTGCTATTCGAATGTCTAAAAAATATTAATTGATCATTAAGAATTTTGGCAATTCAGAATATAGATATTGATAATATTTTCGAAGTCTAGAGCAATCTAGAGTACCTATAAATTGTCCATATGCTGCATATGCTCTGAATAGATGAGGATTGCTTGGAAGATGACCAAATTTTTGAAGAATACGTATAACTTTAAGACAAGCTACGCTAACGGTATATTTATAACAGGGTAATAATTTCTCTAAGTTTAAATTTCTTGTGACTTCTTCTAAAATAGCCTTCGTGTCGATTGATAGAGATTCTGCTGTAATAGCCGTTCTGTAATGATACATTAAGAAATTTATCTACTTGTTAGATTATTATCTATCTATAATTTATATAAATAAAAATCAGATGTTTATACCCTTGTTGTACACTGATAACCGGTGTAACAGTTGCACCAAGAGCTTCGATTAGTGCGGCCCTGTAATAATTGTCGGAATACCTATTCTTGCTGTTATCGTTATACTTAAAAAGATCCATTAAAAAGGCCAATACTTCCGGTGGGCAAATACCATGGGCATTACGTAATCCTGCCATTGCAACTGGTATAGTCTACACAGATATACAAAAGTTCAGAAAAAAAATACTAAATAATTCTGATACAACGTAAATACATGTTCATCCATACCTTTTGTAGAAAGTAATGTTGAAAATTCGAGAAATTATTCTGTTTAATAATCCGCCGGCACGACGCCGATCCAAACAATTTTCTAAATATCGCCAACATTGCTGGTGGACCTGACCAAGTTGCTACCATTGCGTTTCCTACCTGTATGTATATATATTTGTAAAATTTGATTAAATATTATACAGAGTGTGAGCGTGGTGTAGCAGACAGTGCGCTGGTCTACTATATTAGAGATCTCGGATTCGATTTCTGATAGAACCGAAAATTTTCATATGTTTGTAACTCCTCTCAGAAAGCAATGGCAAACCACCAAGTAGTATACTACTTGCCCAGGAAACCTCCTTATCACGGAATAAGTGTTTAAACTGTAAGTCCCCCCC